TGACACTATTCTTGGCTGTGGTTTTCCGAGCCGAGCAATGACGCAGACGAACTAGATATTTGACCGCTGAGCTGTCAGCCGCCCCGACATGCGGTGTCGTTCATCATTTTTGGATGGTGTCGTCGTTTAGCTGTTGCTGTTGCTGGGCAAGATGAGCGCTTGAAGTGCTGTGGTTTCCCTGAGAGCAGCCTCCATGACGTCATTGATTTGGAATCTCGTTAAGCTGACCAGCAGTGCAGCTTTGTCGATTGCGGTGTGAACTTGTGGATCAATGAATGCGATCCAACTCCAATTGGACTCCATGCTGGTTCTTGTTCCATGTGGCGTGCTTGACGCCACGAAAGGCGATCATGGCAAAAAGTTCATCATGTAATTCTGGTATTTTTTGGCTGCCGATTTCTGAGTCTCAACGACGCAGTGCGCAGCTGGTCACTAGCGAATCCACCAGCGCAGCCGTAGAGCATCTTCTTCCGACTGTCAGCGTTGCTTTGCAGCGTGATGGTGCTCGAGCTGTGCTCCATGGGTGCCCCTGTTTCCCGTAGGGCTCCAGTTGCTAGCATTGTTTGCGCTGTCCTTAGGGCTCTGGTTCAGGTCTTGTCTTGTGGTTCTCCTTGCTTGCTGGCCTTCGTCACACCAAGAAATAGCACTCTTTAGAACCCGCATGCATGTACAGTTGGGTTTCTACCCGTTTTAGAAGGGTGTTTTTCCCAGTGGCGGGCATAATTAGGGAGAGCTACACCTAATTACTTTGCACCCTGCTTCACTTTGAGGGGCAGATCCATAAGTTTCTAGAAATCGCACGGCTCAGTTTACCGATGTGCGTCGACAATCCCTCCACATCACGCTAGTCTACCTAGGCCCACAGTTTTTCACACAGCGCTAACGCAGCTAGCAAAGGCACAGTGGAAGAAGGTTGAAAACAGCACAGGGTAACAAGATGTAAAACAACAGTAAACCAATAGCATCCTGAGCGCCAAGCTCGAATGACTAGGGAACAGACCAGATGTCCTGCAAAGCGCCTGCAGCCTCAGGACAGGTGTACAAGGTGCCCGGCGAGGAAATCTCCCGCAACAAGCTTCGCACTGCAGAGGCCATTGCTGGCTCATGCCCTTTTCATATGTACATGCTGCAACTTCATATGCATGATCCATGGAATTAAAAGAGAAATCTTGCACGGATGGACGTGTTTCAAACCTTTATTGTTTTCCGGCTTTGTTGGGGCAAGGGGCTATGGGATTTAGTTGCTTTAATTGCTTGGGCTGCCTGATTCAAAGAAATTGCGTTTGCCAAATGGCTAGCTTGGCCCTCCAGAAAGTGGAGGAAGAATACAGCAAAGATTAAGAAAAAAGGACAGCAATGGAGATATATGATAGAGTCTTGTGGACAGACAACCGCTCGCGACCTCACCGATGAACAGGTTGACGTCATCCACCGCCAAGACACCACGGCAAGTGCACACAGCGTGCAACAAATATTGCAGCAAGCAAGTGCGACATTCGAAGGAATGCTGTGCAAGAAGCAACACTGACCGACGCTCCCATCAGAGGGTGGGCAGTGGCGGGTAAGCAGACGGGAAACCTAGTTACACACATGCTCGTAAAAAGATTGAAAGCAAGATTGGGGAATCCAATCAGGCAAGCAGGGCCAAGCATCAAGTGACGTGGCCGTATCCAAAACTTCTGCTACAAACAACAGCACGTAAGCCAAGCAAGGGCAGCCTCATCATAGTGAGGTTGTAGACCGAGAGGCCAGCCTAGGCGAATCTGCACAGGATCAGCGGGCCCACGACGGCGAGTGCTGTGCATCCATCGAAAAAGCGCGATTCACGCACCAACCCCATTCACGCACTACGATTCAAGCACCAACGATTCAAGCACCAACGATTCAGGAACTATCCGATTCACGCACCAACGATTCACGCACCACGCCGGACCGATTCAGGCACCAAAACGAACCGGTTCAAGTTGAGCACCAAAAAAGGCCGATTCATGCACCAAAAGGAGCCTTGCTTTCGGGCTTAGGGCTTTGGGTCCAGCGTGTCGGGCTTAGGGTTTAGAATTCAGGGTTTAGGGTTCCGGGCTGGTTTAGAGCTCAGGGTTTAGGGTTTACAGCTGGTTAGGGCTTAGGGCTTTCTTAGGGTTTAGGCTGTAAGGTTTGGGGTTCAGGGATGGTTTAGAGTTTATGGCTTTAGGGTTCAGGGTTGCTGTTGGGCTTAGGGTTTAGGGCTCAGGGTTGGTTTAGGGTTTTGGGTTCAGGGTTTAGGGTCTAGGGTTTCAGGGTATAGGACCTAGGGTTTAGTGTTTAGGGTTGGTTTAGGGCGTAGGGTTTGGGTTTAGGGCTCAGGGTGTGGTCACGGCATAGGATGCTCGCTGGTGTGGGACACACCTAGGCCGCTCGCATCGGTGCGTAACAGTCAACCCACCCCATGACCACCCTGAGGTCAAGCAATTTAGGGTTTAGTTCCTAAAGTCTTAAGGGCATCCCGGCGGGGGCTAAGGCAGCACCGAGAGGAAGCAGTGA